ATTGAAATTGGACTAAAATAAACAGAATGAATAAAACAATGAATTCCAACCATAATTGCAGAATCTGTTCATTAATCATTTTGTCTCATCTTGTGATATCAGTAAAATGACAGTATTATGTGTCTTTTTGTAGGTTTGTGGTGAACAACATCATGCTGCTCACTAAGGCCTTCAAAAAGAAGTTCATCATCCCCAACTTTGAAGAGTTCACCCAGGAGATTAATACGATTTATGACAGTGCACAGCAGCAGGAGGGAGGACAAGTAAGTAACACGCACGCTGAGTCAGTGCTCGCTGATTCATTGTTAAACCCTCACTCATTTGCATTTGACATTCATTTGGCTTTCCACAGGTAGCTGATTACATTCCTCAGCTGGCTAAGTTCAGCGCTGATCTCTGGGGTGTGTCTCTGTGCACAATCGACGGACAGAGGTACAGTTAACATCTAATGTTCACATCAGTGTTTCCATTCTGAAATCACTCATCGTCAGAAACATCTCACTAACCTACTTCCATTTTTACATTTCGTTTCCATTCATCTCCATCACATCCTCATGTGATGCAGACACTCAGTGGGTGACACCAAGGTTCCCTTCTGTCTGCAGTCCTGTGTGAAGCCCCTGGAGTACGCCATTGCTGTGCACGAATTTGGAAGTGAGCATGTTCATCATTTTGTCGGCAAAGAGCCCAGTGGATTCAGGTTCAACAAACTGTCACTAAATGATGAAGGTGAGTGATAAGACTCCAGTTGCCCTCTCTGCACAAGAACACGCAATATAAATAAAGTGATATATGGGAAATGTCATTTTGTTATTGAGAAATCTTGGAAACTCCAGTTCGTTATCTGTGATTTCAACAGTTTTTGGTAATTGATGAAGGTATTGTAAGAACAAACCTTCAAAAGTTGCATCAAAAGAAAGACTTCTTGCCAGATTTTATCACCTCACCTTTACAACCAGTTGCTATTCTTCACTCTGCTCTAAAGCAAACAGAAGAGATCTGCATCTCTTTAGTTTGTTTACTAATGTTTACTCTACGTCTTCCTCATGAAATCTCTATAATATCAGCTGTTGATCAGTATGACATTCTTTTCTTGTGCAGATAAACCACACAACCCGATGGTGAATGCTGGAGCTATCGTCATCAGCTCTTTAATCAAGGTAACATCTTAATCTTGACTGCTCTCTCTCTCTCCCTCTCTCTCTCTCTCTCTCTCTCTATATATATATATATATATATATATATATATATATATATATAGATAACCTGTATTCTCCTTTGCACAAAAAATATATTACAAGTTGATCCTTAATCAGTAGGAGAGTAAAACAAAGAGTGGCATCTCAGGAGGAAACGTGTCATGGCCCAGAACAGTTTTTAAAACCCAGACCTTATTAAATCTCTTTCCCTGCAGCATCTCACTAGACTTAATCACAGTTAAAAAAAGTTAGAAACAGCACAGTCTGACCTTTTCCACAAAAACAGAGGTCAATAAACAAAATACTTTTGTTTGACAGGACAGGGGCACTTAATGGACCAATCAGATTTCAGTTAAGGCCCATGCCCCCCTGGGCCCAGCCCTGGATCCACCCCTGCTTGTGACCCACATTTATTGGAAATTTGGCAGCACACATCATAGTGAAACGTGATGATCACACTATTTGCAAATAGCATTTGACGAACAGGCCCCAATCTGAAATCAAGTTTTGGGTCCTATGAAGACACACCTGACAAGGCTGGGATCTGTCTGGTTTAAAAAATATTAATCATGGCGTCATTGATTCTGTGTTCGAGTCCAGTGAGAAGCCACAGAATTTGACTCTTTTGGTTTAGTTGAAATATTCACAATTAACACAGTTTATAGAATCTGTTATAAAAATTAGTGAAGAAACTTACTCCTGAACGTTGATGTCAGCAACAGCTATCACTTATCTAATCATTCATCTGCTGGCTGGTCACTCGATGCCCACAGCAGTTGGACTATGGTCATCACCAGCTGACTGACCGGTCTTATCTGTGAGCTTTGACCTTAACTTAAGCCGTGTGTGTGTCTTTGGTAGCGGGGAGTGTGTTTAGCTATATATGGTTGTGTGTCGTCCTGAAGCTTCACGGCCTGACTGAAGAGACCTCTTATCACATGTAGGTCAGGTTCAGCAGTGACGGAGGGAGTGTGTGTTTGGTTCCTGATCAGGGGCGTTTGTGAACCTCTGGCCAATTACAGCTGTCAGAGTAGAAGGTGTGTCAGCCCCCATACCTTGTGCGTGAATGTAGTCGGGGGCAATGTCATCCTATTTTCTATTCTATATTTACATGTTATTTATGTATTCTGAGAAATGTTGTATCCTTAAAGCTTGATATTTTACATGCAAAGGGGATAAATCTGTTTTTGCAATATTCATGCCCCAGTTAAAACAACTGCACCTCCAAAAGTTTGAATGTCACATGTTTTATTTAAAATCAACAGATCAGAGCACAAGAGTGGAATTATCTGTAGAGACTCATTTATTGGTCCTGGGGTTTATCCTCAGGTCATCCCTTCACCTCACACTAATGTTTGATATCAAATTTCCCCTTTATGGGTCATTAAATATGAATGTGACTGCCGTCCCTTTTTGGTAACTCCACAGCTTGGTAATGATCCCTTACCGGAATTCAAGCATGGCCATAAACATCCCACAGGCCACAGTGAGCACGTTGCCACATGGAAACAGTCACAAATGCGTCATGTACACATCACACCTCAACGGCCACATGAGATTGGATTCAATACCTCAGCGTCAAAGTACTCAAACACTGCCATCTGTAGGGGCTCGCTGTCTCTTCACGTACTTAAAACTGGAATAAGAGAATAACATTACCCCACTTCTGTTTACAGCCTCATTCAAATAAAGCCGAGAGGTTCGACCATGTAAGTAAAATCTTTTCATTTCCACACTTGACGCCAGTCGTTGGTTTGAAGTCCTGACCCATGTGTAAATACGATCCTTACTGCAGGTGATGGAGTTCTTGAAAAGCATGGCCGGTACTGAGTATGTGGGCTTCAGCAATGCAACGTGAGTACCACGCTTCAGGAAATCAACCTACTTGTCCTCATGAAATGTAGATTTTTTCATACCTGGTATGTTCCTGCAGTTTCCAGTCAGAGAGGGAGACCGGTGACAGGAATTATGCAATTGGTTATTACCTCAAAGAGAAAAGGGTAAGATTGTTTTTTTTTTGGTTTTATTTAATTACAATCATTTGCTCAGGTTTTCAGAAAAACTGAAGAGGCTCAATCCAAGCTGACTCTAATCGTACCCTCTTGTGTTTGCAGTGCTTTCCTGACAATGCCGACATGATTGCAGCCCTTGACTTCTACTTTCAGGTGAGACAACACTGTGACAGCAGGATCTCATGAAGCCATACTACTTTGTAAATACACAACTTCTAGTTTTAACACTTCGATCAGGTTGAGCTCATAAGATATAACATATTAATTACAGAGCTTTTATGCAGAATCCAGCATCCAGCTGTGTCCCCATTTCAGTGTCCCCTGGAAACATTAAAGAAACAGTGTCGTCTGTTCTGCTGCCACATTTTGTGTTTTTCACAAGCAAAAATACTCCTTTATTGCTCATTTTGAAAAAATAACTTTTTGGCTGTACTTGCATGTGACAGATTGCTCGTTGGGTAATGTTCTGTGTGATCATTCTTCTTAAAGGTGAATCTGCAGGTCTTAAAATCTCTTATTAACTTTATATTGATTCATGTTTCTTCAGAAATCTATATTTTAGAATTTATTTACTAATATCATTATTTTTCTAAGGTTTCCATGATTTTATTTATAATCTCCTGAAATGTCTTGATAACTATGTGACCACAACAGAAACCCTGAATATTTCTCAGCACTGTACTGTTTCTTTCTTTCCATGACAGTTGTGCTCCATTGAAGTGACCTGCGAGTCAGGAAGTGTCATGGCTGCCACACTGGCCAATGGCGGTATTTGTCCAACCACAGGCGAGCGTGTGCTGAGCGCTGAAGCGGTTCGCAACACCCTGAGTCTCATGCATTCCTGTGGCATGTACGACTTCTCAGGACAGTTTGCTTTCCATGTGAGTCACCAGGGAATTCAGCGATGAGTTTAAAATAATGGTTTCTCTTATTTCTCCAGGTATTAAGTCTTCACACATTTTGTTTGATCCTCTTGTTCAGGTGGGCTTGCCGGCTAAATCTGGAGTTTCAGGTGCTGTGTTGCTGGTGGTTCCTAACGTCATGGGTATGATGTGTTGGTCTCCACCGCTGGACCGTCTTGGAAACAGTGTTCGTGGAATTCACTTCTGTCAGGTGTGCAGCCGTCATCACAGCTCCACTAATGTCTCTTTATCTAATTTATCTGGATCTGCATGTTTCAAACACTTAATCTAACTTTAACTTCCCCAGGAGCTGGTTTCATACTTCAACTTCCACAATTACGACAACCTGAGGCACTTCACTAAGAAACACGACCCCAGAAGAAGATCGGATGATGATCCAGTAAGTTTGGGACCACAAATGTAGACTCTCAGGCTAAAGAAAAGTAGCAGCCTGTTTGGCTTTTTATGTAAAAACCTAACAATAAGTTCACTTTCACACTCTTATATCTGCCTTCTAATCTGTTAGAACAAGTCGGTGGTGAAACTGATGTTTGCAGCGTACAGTGGTGACGTCACAGCTCTTAGGAGGTAAATTTACAACAAGGACTTTACTTCTCCATCCAGTTTTTAGAAGTACACAACTTGAATACCAAGAGTTAATTAAAGGACCAGTGTGTAGGATCCAAGCGTGTCGGAGAAGCTCAGTGGCCTTCAGGTGGCTTCAAGTGATCAGACACTTATGATAACATAATTATAAATATAACATTACATTTCTGCCTATTGATTCCCATAAGAAGTGGAAACATGGGAAAACAGGGTCAGGATCTGTAGAAATATAAACTATCTGCTTGCTGGCACATTTATAATCACATTTTATGTTTTCTTTTAGCTTCATACGTTACAGACGATCAGGTCAACAAAGGCAATAACTTCTCCTCCAGTGTTCTTGTAAAACCTTTACGAGCTAAATGATGCTTTAGAATGTTCGTCGCTCATGTAATTGCACAGATACTCGTCTGCTCTCAGCCCAGTATCTGACAGTTAACCATCGCTCGAGTTAACCTTTCCTTTCTGCTCCTCTGTCATCCCTCCAGGTTTGCCCTTTCAGCTGTGAACATGGAGCAGAGAGACTACGACTCTCGCACGGCACTCCACATCGCTGCAGCTGAAGGTGACACTTTATTATTAGTTCATTCGTTCTTCAATGATCTCGGCTTAGATATTCAAACAAGAGCAAATTAAACGTGACATTTACATTACAATGTTTCAGTGTGGTTTGGGAGTACGATCACGTAGGTGAGAGTTGCCCGTTCCTGCTTTAATGTGAGATGGCCCTCTTCTTTTCTTTCAGGTCATGTGGAATCTGTAATTTTCTTGACTGAAATATGTAAAGTCAACCCCCACATGAAAGACAGGTAGGGATTTTAAATATAAACATGTGTCCATCTTCAAATGACTATAACAAACTATTCAACTTCATATTCCATTGTGTTGTCCATCAGATGGGGGAACACGCCCCTGGACGATGCCATGCAGTTTGGCCATGATGTTATTGTCTCAGTCTTGCAAGAGTACCAGCGTGTTTACGCTGACGGAGAATCCCCATGTGACGCAGAGGAGCAGAAGACCTCAATGGATACGCTGAAGAGCATTGTTTAATCCACAAGGGATCACAAGGGTTTGTAATGTAAATCCAGTTGATTTAATTATGCACCTATGAGGAGTGAAAGAACGGGATGATTGAGGGAAATCATGAATGACTGTGTTTATCTTCTTTGGACTGTTGAAAAGATGCAGAACTAAATTCCCTCGTAGTGCTTTGCTGCAGACTGGGGGTTTGGTCAACAATATAAAGCAGAATACATCCGTTCAATGTGTTGCTTAAAAAATTTACTCCATGATTTGGCTCGGTGCAATATTAGCTAGAATGGCCCTAGTTCCCTATTCTAATTTGGATCTGCACCAAATGCACACACTCATAAAAACCAGTCCCATATTCATTTATGGATCCACACCTAAATTTAGTGGATTCTTTCCTGACCATTAATCCAAGTTTCGCAGAAAACCGTCATGTAATTGTTACGTAATCCTGCTGATTAACAAGGACAGATTAAAACCTTGACCTAAGCTTCTGATGTAAATATAGAAAATTATGTTTATTCGTTTTGAATGTTGAGCTATATTTTGCTTCATTGTTTTATTTGATTGAGGGATTTCTTGCCCCACTGTGCAATAAGTGTATAGATATTCTTATAAGTCTTCTTAATTCTTCTACCTCAACAGGAGGTGCTTCATTTGTGCCTCGACACTGAAACAACAGGTTTTCTGTGTATTTGATGACATTGTACTGAGGCTCACAGGCCAGTCTACTCACTGCTGAAACCTCGTCGTGTTTGTGCCCGTTTTTTTCTTTCTATCTGGATGAATTGTTCTCACAACATGAGCGTGAGCTAAACGTGTGTCACAGAAACATGTCTACGTCTCAGGCACAGGGAACAATGCATGTTTAGGTTACTCCAGCACAAAATATAAGCACAGTATAATTAAATTGCAATGTGTGCAAATGAGTATTTCCAACTGGACACGGTCGTGTTTGAAGTGATAATTTATATAAAAAGCTAAATTGAAACTTATGCATAACCAAGTCATGTGTCAAAAACATAATTTTACAGTTGAATCTTCTCAAATCAGCGCATTTTATTCACAGTTTTATTTGAGTTGAACTATGGCAAACAAACGACTCCTCAGCATGACATTAGCTTTACTCTGTCGCTGTAAATATGTATTTTCCTGCTGTAAATAAATGGACTGTGAATGTAGTTTCAGTGACGTTATTTTGTAAAACAATACTCAGTATGAACATGAGGCTGGAAAAGCTTTTGTGCAGATTTTTGGGATTTGAAACGGTCTGTAGTCTGAACACAAAGAATACAAAAATGACAGCTTGGCAGTTAGTGTTCCCAAAAACAAGCTCACATCCTTTTCACGTCGGTTAGTGGACATATATGAGGTACACACAAAAACAGCTTCTGTGAAATGATTGCCTGAGGCTGGATAACACGTGTCAAATACAGTATGCAACAATAATGCAATCAGAAAAATTCTAACACCTCCATTTTTTTCTCTATAACAACCTTTGGCTAAAATCAAATTCATTATATAATTTCCTAAAAAATATTTTTTGTTTGTAAATGAATAAAATGATAATGAAGTGTAGATTGATAAGTAGGAAAATATACATATTGTTTTATTTTAGCATAAGGTGGAATGAAGAGGTCTAAATACTTTCCAAATGCACTATATACTATGAACAGTCTTTATGAAAACAGCTGGCACAAAGAAAAATAACCATCACAATAAGCGCTGAATGATTCCCAAGGAAGATATTGCTTTCTTTCCTGCATTGAAGATTATGTTGTAATAAGTGCTGCCATGGTACTAAACCCAGGCAACTCTGTGTCACCACCATCAGAATCATCGCCATCACAGGTTAATCTGCATCATTTCAGGCCATCAGGCTCCTCCAGACCAGAGTGTGTGAGCAACTCCCCGTCCCAAAGTCCAAACGCAGGGCACAGAGGAACCTTGAACTTTGCCCTGACGCTGTGAATGATCCTGGGCTTCTCGATGTCCACCAGAGCCAGGAGGCCCGCGTCGTAGTCAAGCAGGATGCCTACACGGTCCGGCTTGCCTACAATCGTCACAGGAACCATCTTATTGCTGGTCATGGCGAACCACTTGCGCTGAGCGTAGCTGAACACCCAGGAGGAGCTGTCGGTCCCCACGCAGTCGTCCCGGGACATCAACACCTCAGCCACACCCAGACGAAACTCTTGAGACTTTTTGACCGTCACCTCCCAGTAGTGTCGTCCGCTACTGATCTTCTCATCGCCAAAGACGACAGCCCAGTCCCGGAAACGCTCCGGGTTGTCTTGCACTTTGCTGGGGTCCAGGCCCAGGATGCGGTAGATGATGCCAGTGTCTTTCTTAAAGAGGTCCAGACTGCTGTGGGCTGTTCTCTCATCAAGCTTGAACTGCAGATCTGCAGAGAATACACCACAAAGAGAGGAATATCTGATTACTCAATGGAATGAGTTTAATAATGGAAGCCTCATCGGAGTCAACAAGTGGATCCCAAACTAAGAAATGTAGAATTCAATCTGGAATCAGATTAAATTAAACTGACTGGCGACACTGTATCACTTCTTAGTTGTCACTTCCACATGTGCTTTTCCTGTGAACATTCTCCTCTGAAAAACATCAGTGAATCACATTCGTTCAGGCATGATTAAGGTTTTCTCAGGTTTTACTTCAACTTTTCATTTGCACAAACAAACAAATGGTGAATTTGAGAATGAAACTGAGGCAACATTTTACAGATGTACATTTAACATTTAAAATCTGATCGATAGTCACTGAATTGTTCAATGGGAGCGAAAAACAGTAAAAAGTACATTTTCAAGCATTGCACCTTCACACCTTGATCAGTTATTCAAATTAAACATTTTAAACAGCTAAATAAAAATGTTGGGAACTATTGGTGTGATTTTTAATAGTGTAATTTAATAACGTATGTGACATTAACTAAAGCTGTTTAAAAAACAGAACAGTAGTTCTCTGCACTGTTTACAGTACAAACATAAAGTGGTATCAAATAGTTTTAAATGGTTACTCAGTAAACACAGTACTGGAGTAAATGTTTTCAAACTACACAGCCAGCTCCAGTCTGTTTAAACGGTCTAAGAAGTTTCCACCAGAGGAAACTTGTTAGTTTTTATTTGAAGCTGCTGAAATGAAGAAAAGCTGAAGGTCACAAAGTAAACATGTCTCCAGTGTCAGTACAGACGCTATTGTTGTGGCAGGAGAAGCGGGTTTAAACGGGGGAAGCCTATAAATGAACTAATCATCCATCATCTGTTGCCCCTGATGTGACACTGACCTCTGAGCTGCTCAAGCTAACTGCTAACAGCTAACACCTGTGTTTACGCATTAACAGGAACTCACTGCTGCAGGTGGAGGTGGAGACGTAGCACCTCCTCTCCGGCACACTGACAGTCCTCCTGGCCGACAGGGAGGTAACGGTCCGTCCTAAGAGGAGACACAGACGAGCTGCTCTGTGAGACACCGCCATGTTTCCACTGCTGCTGCTCACATGGTCCACTTCCTTCTTCTGCTCATAAAAACATGAAGCTGCAGCGCCCTCTGCCGCCCCCCGCAGGCCTGGAGGGGAAACACAGCGCATCAGCACCACGGACAGCAGTCACCATGAGAGTCTGTATTTAAGGAATCATGAAAATATACACACACACACACACACACACACACATATATATATATATATATATATACTTTTATATAACAACAAATGTTTTTTTAAGTTGTGTCTCAAGCACGTGTCCTGGGTCCACTTGAGATTGTGTTGACTTGATTTATGTCTTTAAATCTTTTAAATCTTGATATTTGGTTTGGTCTAGTAATCTTCTTGTGTTTGAACTTTATTGTATTTTTAGATTGATAACTCTGTTTCCTGTTTTTGGATTTGTTAGTGTCTGTTTTATTTTGAAGCTTCTTTCCTGGTGTGTGTCTCTCTGTTGTTTTACTTCCTGTGTCTGTGAGGATTTCCTGTTCCCGTGATTGTCTGCACCTGTTCCCAGGTATGTGCCCCCTGAGTTGAGTCATTCCTGTTTCATTTGAGAACATGTGTTAGTTTTGCTGGTTTGTTTAAATGTTGGAATTGTTACAGTTTGAGTTCTGCTCTCTGTCGTTACTCAGTTTTGTCCTTCTGCCTTTTTTTGGATGTTCATTTGATCTGCCTGCCTCCTGTCTACTGAACCGTAAGTCTGTTTTTTGTTTGTTTGATTAAATCCACCATCTACACCTGCTCATCTGTTTGCTTCTTGGTATTGACAACAAAAAAAAACGTGACAAGAGGTAAAATATAAAATACACGAGTAAAAAAATAAGTGACATGCAGTGTGCAAATGATCAATAATCAAATAATCAGCTGCATATGAATAATATCAGCATACTTAAGTGATTACATGATTGCAAGATGGGGTTTTCAGTGTGTGTCTGTTGTGAGTTTGTGGGGTTCAGCAAAGTTCAACACTTTTACAGTTTTGGATTAGAAGCTGTTTTTCAGTCATGTGTGTGTCAGAGGGGAGACGTTTGGTGATGGGGTGAGCCGGGTTGCAGATGATATTTGAGGCCCTCTGCAGCCAGAGTTATTGGATTATCAAAATATGTATTACCATCATATGGCTTCAGTCCAAACATCGAACATCAAATCATATGTGGAATTTTAGTGTCTGCAAAACCAATTGTTTCACTATGAGACAACCGTCGCCCCTGCTTTGTGCAAATCATTACTTTGTATTACTTTTGCATCATTTTGCATTTGTTTTTGCATCTCCATCTATAGTTATTTGTCTTAACAGACCCTTTGGATCTATTTGTGGTCATTTAGCATCGCATAATGGTCATTTATGTCTTTGTGGTCATTCAAGTCTCTTCATAGGCAGTTTGCTTCTCTGTTTGTTGTCATTTTGTGTTTCTTTATGGCCATTTTGTGTCTTTAGGGCCGTTTGTTTTGCATCCCTGTGAAGGTGTGTGTCTTCGTCATTCTGAGTCTATTTGTGGTCATTTTGCGTCTCTTAATGGCCATTTTGTGTCTTTGTTGTCTTTCGAGTCTCTTCTGGCAGTTCACATCTCTTTGTGGTCATTTGAGTATTGTTGGCATTTTGAGCTGCTATTCTGAGCCTTCTGTGTGTCTCAGTGTTGTCACTTTCATCCATCATAATATCATGAGTGTTTTATATATATAAATAACAGCATACAGTCATATATATATTAAACCACACGACTTTGCTTTCTAAAATTAAAATTTCTGCATTAGTTATAGCTGTTTATGTTGGATGTGGGAGGAAAGGAAACAGCCTCTGGAAACAGTGGCGAATGTACGCAGACTTTAATGTCACAGATTTTTTTTCTTCGTGTTGATTCATTCAAGGTGGGTAATGAATCTTTTATGACAAGTAATAAATATTTTGTCCTATTAACAAAGCTTGATTCAGCCTTGTTGCGCTGCCAGATCCATTTTTCATGCCAGTATCCAGCTGGGGACTAAATGTCATTGTTTATTCATGGTCCAATCTAAACATGGCAAAGACAGTATCATTAATAATCTTTCTTTCTTTTTTCTCTGCCTGATAATGACTTTGTTTGGAAAGTTGCAGTTGAGACACCTTCACCTCCGCTCACAAGACATGTAGGGTTCATAACTCAAGTTTATAGGCAAAGTCACTTTAAAATTGACGAGCAAAACATTCTTTGCACATTACCACACTTAATGACAAATACACTGTGCAACTACACAATACAAATACCTTACTGTGCTCCATAGTAATGAAAGAAAACAAATAAAAACAACTTACTATTACTTTTCAATTCTTCAAAGCAAAAATACCAAATTACATTTCCAGCTTCTCAAATTATTTTTAATGTAGTATAACAAATATGAAACTGATTATTTGGGGGTTAAGCATGTGTATCATCGGGACCTTGATGGCTCCACGCCACAGTCAACACTGCACAGACTCAAAAGCACAAGATGGCAGCACCTGTGTCCAGGATATTATAGCTTCATTTTGCACAAGAGGAATTGGAAACAAAGACAAATCATAATGAGAGCACTGTAATGGTGGCACAAGGTATTTATTGTTCAACACGGCCAACTTAAATCAATTTTTATTTTTCCATTAGAAGCAATGAGGTGAATACAAAACAATTGCATAATAACAAGCTTCAGTTTCCCCCCCAAAAAAGACTAAGGAAAGAAAATGGCTGTGATAGATTTGAGCTAGAGGAGAGAACGTGACGTCTTGACTTTGGTTGGACGATGTTAGCAAGTTGCATTTTGGGAAATGAGGGATAATAGCATGTGTCAGGATTTCTAGGCATCTGCTGGTTTGATGTTGACCTTTTCGGCCTCATGTGTGACCCCTGATCTTTTGAAGGTGATGTCCAGTTTAATGTCTTCTGTCTAGATAAGTGCTGGGTAATACAGCACTTCATGAGCAGAGAATTACAAATACTGGACCAAAAGCAAAATATTTAGCAGATCTGAGGTGAATCAATATGTTTTACATCTCCTCACTGTAATGCATCAAAATGATACTGCAATAATTATTATTTATTTTGAAGTTATTTTGTCCTTTGTCCAGAAGAAGCTGGACATTGAGCATAATGGAAAATCCTCTCACTTCTTTTCTCTCTTCCTCTCTTCATCCTGTGTCTGCAGTCATGTGAAGTGATTGAGTGAAACTATAGTAACTCACAGGTGATGAACAGCAGCAGCTTCCACTCTCTCTCCTCCACTGCTGCTGCCACACACACACACGCACACGCACACGCAGGAGCTCACGACTCAGCACCGACCAGAATAAAACCACCAGTCTGACTCTCACTCACGTTGATCTGAGGATCAGTGAGTGACAGAGACGTGGTGTGCGAACTCCTGATAAACGAGCTCAAGTGTCAGAAGGATTTCTCCTCTTCTCCTCTTCTCCTCTTGTTGGCGTGCACGCAGGAATGATGCGTGCGTCTCGGGACTTCAGCCCGACCAGCGGATTCTCAGTCTGCTGAAACACTCCCTTCTTCTCGCTTGTTTTGCTTCACTGCAAACCTGCACCACCGGAGCGCAGTGGTGATGGACCTTGGTTCGGATGTCTTAACGCACGAAGAGTCCTGCAGCTTGTGTGCGCATGCTTTTGTGAAATGTGCCACTTTTTCTCGCAATTCCCACTCGTCTGACTTTTTGGAAGAGCCACGGATGCTGGACATGTTCCTCTCGCAGGGTGCATGAGAGATGGCGACCGAAAAGCACCAAGTCCAATACTGGCACCTGTCCGGCTGGATCATGACACTTTGCGCCACAGGTGAATGAATCAGTCTCTCTCTGAACCGTGCGTGTTTTTCCAATCTGTTTTCGAGCGTGTTGCACACAGACCATGGATCTCAAAGTAGAAACCGAGGAGCTGGACTCGAATCGACCTCCACCCATTGAAGTTTTTGCGCACAGCTCGACCCTGCACGGGATCTCCCACATCTTCACTTACGAGCGCTTCTGCATCAAACGCTGCCTGTGGCTCGTCTTCTTCCTGGGCTCCCTCACCTTCCTGCTGTACGTGTGCGTGGACCGGATCCACTTCTACCTGGAGTACCCGCACGTCACCAAGCTGGACGAGGTCTCGACCCCGAACATGATGTTCCCCGCGGTCACTTTCTGCAACCTGAACGCGTTCCGCTTCAGCCGCGTGACGCGTAATGACCTGTACCACGCCGGGGAGCTGCTGGCCCTGCTCAACCAGAGGTACCAGACTTTACTAAGTGTTCGCATGTTGTTGTACATGTGGCTTTTATTTATCTTCTATCATTTAGCAACTGCATTTTATTTTTCTGTTTTAATATCCAAGCAACCCTTCACTGAAACCCTCCATCTCGTCTTTTTTACAAGCTGTCATTGTAAACCTATGAAAGTTAAATATTACAGTACACCACACTTAAGTATTTCGATTGGATGCCAGTTTATAGGTTACTAAAAACTCCACTGTATTACACAGGGAAATATTTTACTTTATTTGACATTTATAGTTATTGGGAACTTTGGAGATTAAAGATTTTAGATTCAAAACCTTCAATTATGATAATGGTATATGAATAATAAATCAAATTGGCTCCACCTTTTAATATCGAACCAAACCATCCCTGAAACTCATTGTAAACCCATGAAAGTTAAATATTATACTTGTTAGTGGTGGAATGAATAATTACATTTCCTCAAGTACCACACTTTTTTAATGTTACGCCACTACACAACACTGCAGAGCGAAATACTTTACTATTAACTTTATTTGACTGATAAAGATTTAAAATACAAAACCTACACTGATCTCATAACATGTTTTATTAATATGGATTAAAACATGTATTATTAACCTACAATCTTGTGAATAATATAGGTTATATTATAGATTGCAATATGTATAATAAAACTCACAGTAAAATGCTGCTTAAACATTAATGCATCATTAATAATAATAATACTAAAACACTCTCAAGGGACAATTTTCTGGATTGTGACAACTTGCATTTCATACATTTAAGTACTTTTCAGGGAAACTTTTTACAGTGTATTATTTATAAGAGAAAGATCTGGTGATTGTGTGTCACTCCCAGTATTGGAGAGCAGGCCTGAATCAACTGAGGCATCATAATCAGAGACATCCAGCTGCGTTACCCGTGCAGCTGAAGGCTCTGGATCCTGGAGCAGATTGTAAAGCATGTACTGTGTAAATCTATATACTGTATGCACATGCAGGGAGGGAAAGATGGAGCGTCTGGGATTTTTCAACCCTGACGTCTCTGAAACGAATCCATCATTCATACTAAATCCACTTGTTTGTAACGTGTTAAAGAATGTGCTTCTCTAGTTGTCCTATTTGCTGTCAAAGGAAACGGATGGAGAGAGAGAAAAGACATTGGGTTTGAAAGCTGTTTAATAGACATGTTGTTTTCCCTGCGGTGTAACATTGTGCAAATATCAAGAGGCGCTGCAATAATGAAATAATCAGCAAGTTGGTGTCAGTCAACGCTGTGTGTGAGAGAGAGAGATCTGGGTGATCAGAAACATTAAAAAGTAAAAGCTCAGATGATGGGAGCCTCTGACAGGCTGTCAGTTGAGTAAATTGAGGACAGGACTCGGCACACAGAGCTAAAAGGCCTCTGGTGGTTTTACTTTATGTGGTTATACAGCCAACTTCGTCCCTAAATCTTTAATGGAGATCCCAGACTCTACACTAAAATTAGATATTTTTCTCTCTGTGACTGATAATCAACACTTGCCATCTGGATTTTTTTCATGAATACATTTACCACTCTCATATTTCCAGACTCACGAGGGTGATTTTTCAAAATTGGAGACTGGAACATAATGGAAACTGATTTTTTCCTTCTAAGTTTCCTTCTCCGTGTGCTCATCTCCACTCTTACACTCTGAAGTAGGTCTGGTGCTCATTATCCTGCCTCCCTCGGCTAGGTAGAGAGGCGATGAAACAGCACTCTTGGCTGTTATAGACCCAGCCTGAAATGAAAGCGCTCGTGGCATGAAATCCATTTAAGACCATTCTCCGCCCACTCCTAATGTTTGGAGTCACTGGTCTGGGAAATGTCTTGTGGCATGATATTTAAGCTTCGCACATGCTGAAATGTCAGCGTTGATTCCGTCAGCTCATGCATTTGGGACTTTATCTCATAAGTGCCTTCTTGGCGGGTTTGTTCACTTTGCAAACAGTGGGGAGCAAATGCCCCTCCTCAATTAAGTTCCTTTTCAGTCCAACAAAAACCTCCTCTCAGCCTCTGCCACAGCGGAGCTCACCCTAAACTCAATGTCACAAAAAAATCCATGAACTAATTTTGAGGGTTAGGGTGGAGGATTTCAGCTGGAGTCCTTAATGACCCTGTGCCCTCATGAGCATGAAAACCAAAACCATTACTGCACCTTGTTTTATAAGAAATGAAATGGTGTAATGTGTCACTGTATGATGCTGTAATCATGTCGTACATCACCCGCAGCTGTTTGAACAATGTTAACTGCCGAATCTCCTCTCTACTCACGTCATGCGTCCAAAACGTTCTTCATATGAGGCAGTGGTAAGGAAAACAAAAGTCCAAGCAATCTGATCTTTGGCGAGTCCATTAAAATGGTGACACTTTTAATATAGCACGGTGGGGCATCACAGCGAGGTAGAGAGCCGGGACATTTACAGCTACTCTGCTCTCTTTTAATACAAGGCAGCGTGGTCAGAGTTTTGTGAGCTCCATTAAATAAAAATAAATTTCCCACTGCCACCAGTAATGTTGCTTTGTGATGTGGGTTGGCTGGTCCTCCACTCACTCACTCACATGCCTTTATTGTCAGTGCCATGTAAAAAATATTTTTTTAGGTGAAACAGAAAAACAAATTAAATATCACCGAAATGCAACTGAATGCCAAGCTATCAATAATGTACCAATATCGTTTATATAATGAGTGATGACGCTAATGATGATACATGAGGAGAAATGAACTGTTCATTTAATTTAACACATTAATAAGGTCAGAACATTGATTCATGTCATTGGGATCCAGGATTTACTGATGTCAACATCTCAGTATCCCAATATAAACAGATATGGACCCGACACAATACACAGTTTATCGGCAATCAAAGCCAAATATCAAATGCAAAGCTTGAAGTTGCTTGTAAAGAATCTGTAATGATTCAGCGATGATGCAGTCTACAGTCATGCTAATTTGTAGCAGGTATAATGTTAACTAGTTTATTGTGTTAGGATTCAAGTGGCTGTAGGCCTGATCTATTTTTTTATACTAGCAGTGCCAGCATGTAAGAATTACGTAATAGTCTGAAACACTGAGCTGAATCTCAATTCAGGGACTTCATTCTGTGTAAGCAGTATTTGAGGACCAATTGCTGCACAGTGGTGTGACTATACGCTGTCCTTCTTTTTAACGGCTCCTTCAAATGTGGCCAACAAAGATTGCACACTGGTGATGAAGGAAACGATCTTGCTATGTGGGTGGCTGAGCTACAGTAAGCATAGCGGTGCAAAGTAGCCGACATTGCAATGGTCAAGAGCGGGACAAGCTGGTGACACAAATAGGAGGCGAGACGGTGTCATTTCAATCAGGCCTTTGCAGTCCACGGAGGAGCTAACCCTCGGGCAGCAGTTTTCAGTGGAAAAGCCATTAAATCCCAATGTGCACTTCACCTACATTCTGTCAAGTGGACGACAGACTGATGCGACACAGGATGTTGAATATCTCCACACACTTAACAGCTAAAGTACAAGATAACCAAGATGATGATCTGATGATGGTACTAGATGAAACATGAAGCAATCACCAGAGTTATTCCTTGACAATGTAATAGTCGTAATTGTCCAGACATTTAAAACCAAAAGCTTCATAGCATCATCAAAGTCATTAAAATGCAACTGGCAATCGGGTACTGTATAATACATAGAATACTATATATACTGTGCCAGTATGTCCAGTAGATGTCTGGACACCTTTCAACAAATACAACATCTCAGAAAGTCATCATGACCAAAACTATCATCATAAAGACTTTTTCTGTTTATGTCTGAATCCAGATAAATGAGATTTGAGCTGAAAAACTCCAGAGCCTGAAGCTTCTTCATCGAAATGGACAAGTGGGTTTATGGGCCTGTACAGCTCTTGTATGAAGTTTATTATAAACTGTACAGTAAAGTGTTACTGAGGGATTTCACCTCAGAGGAAGAAAAGGCCAAAATGATCTTGTCCCTGTTGAGTCTTTCTAAGTTGCATTTTTAAAGAGTAGAAGCTTTCTGATAAAGACGTACATGAAGTGTGAAAACATTTTCAAAGGATGAAATTCCCTTTTTGTAAAGTCTGCTTTTTCATCATGCTCTGATTATTCACTGTGAAGATTCACTGTTCAAAGAAATTAATCATTCTACTCAAAAGGATAAGAAATAAAAATCAGTGTTCATTAATGTAAAATCAATTTTTTATTTTCTGTGTTTGTCTGTGCAGGTATGAGATCCGGGACATTCACCTTGTGGAGGAGAGCGTCCTGGAGAGCCTGAAGGTCAGAGCCGACTTCCACAATTTCAAGCCGCGACCCTTCAACATGCGGGAGTTTTACGACCGGACGGGTCACGACATCAATGACATGCTGCTCTCCTGCCACTTCCACGGCATTGAATGCAGACCAGAGGACTTCAAAGTGGTAAGTCGTCTCCACGGTAACATCGCGAGGATTTTGGTCAGAAACCAATAAAAACAATTCAAATGAAAAGAATGATCATAAGAAGAATTGGAGAGGGTTTGATCATTTTCCACATATTGATGAGGATGTAATGAAGAACCTGCTACAGTTTAAACGTAGATTTGTTTGAAATGACGCCACAATATCAACACTGATCACTGCTTAATGATCAATACTTTTCATAAATGAGTCAAAACTTTCTTCAGAGCTGCACACGCATGCCTCTGCCTGTCCCGCTCTAACAACCAAATTATTTAAACAGCATTTGTATAGAGGAATGATTCTGTCCCAAGCTTTTTGATTCATATAAAGAACTGATCACTGTATCATGATCATCATTTCCACTGAACAGTTAAAAATCAGATGCAGAGCAACATCCCGCTGTCATTCATTAGCAAGTGTTAAAATCAAGCACGGGTGAGCTGTATAATCTATCACAATCATGTTAAATGTTTTTTACTCCTGTTTGAAAATACCAAAACTAACACTGTGGAATCGATGTGAAGAACAGCAGGACAGTGTCAGTTTTAGAAAACATTATTCAATCAGATTTTCTTTTTCAATCAGAAAAATGACAGAATATCAACACACATATCCTTTAAGATTAAGGTCATTAATAAGCCAGTGCTTGATTTGATGTTTGAATAGAAGAGTGCAGCCAGCACACACTGTAAAATCAAAGCATTATCTATTTATAGCGGGTGAAAGAGTAATGAACCCAGAGAACAAAGAACAAACCTCTGAGTGAACCGAAGGAAAACTGTGTAGTTTCCTGACCTGAGGATCCCTGCTGTGCTTTCCCTGCGGAGGCTGCTGGTTTGAATCCAAACATTCCCCGTTGTAAAGCACAGATGCACGTCTATCTTTAATTTCTTCTTTCTCTTGTGTAGTGAGGATCATGTCAAGGTGTGTTCATCGGCCTGTGTATAAAATGTTTTGAATCTGTGCCGAACAGTCCTTGTTAAAATCATCAAACACTGTTTGGAGCTTTTTATTTATTTAGTTGAATCCCTGCGGTTCTGTGTAAATGTTTACATCTACCTTTTCATCTTTTCTTTCTTTGTTAGTGTTTCCACTTCAAAACGGGGGGGGGGCGTTGTGCAGCAATGTCCTTTTTAAAATGAAAACCTTGTGGAGGAGAGATGTGTGGAGCAATGCAGCAGTGCTGGTCAAAGTGTGTTTAAACCCTCCACTGATACATGAGCGTGACGGACTGAGGAAGTTTTCCCTGCAGCAAAAAGTAGATTTCCCTGGCTGCAGTGTCTGTGCCATAAAACCCTGCTGTTGCTGCTGGCACACCCAGACACAGTCGCCAATAGTCACTGGCAACTGATGTGGTTTTTAATTTGGAGCTGAACATTGATCACTTCACGCAGCAGCTTCACTGAATAGATTGGATTAAGTTTTACGGTAGTGAGAAGATTCACGTTTCTCTCCAGTGCACATCTGTGCTGGTGTGGAACAAGTTGTCCATAAAGTGAATGGCGGTATGTCTCACATTGTTTTTTTTCTCCCTTTTAATCAGAAGAGTTAAGTTAAAATAAGCCTGCAAGTTTTGGACTAAGGGGTTTTTTTTTGGCGGGCAACATTAAAACACATCCTTACACAGTGAAAACAGAGATGAGCTCATCACACGACCACTTGATGTAGCAGCTGCCTTGAGGCAGCTTTGAGATGATATTTATGTTTATGAGGGATTTCATTATTTTTCTCTGAACCCAGTGAAAAGTAAAACTACTGGATGCTTTTGTATACGTCTCCACATGTTGTGTGAAGCACAAAGTGTGGAGTACCTCCTTCATCAGAGGCGTCTGGCAGCAAGTTGAAACTCTGATTCTTTAAAGATTTACGCCAACTCCCAAAAGTGAAGCCAAACAATCTTGATCAACCCCTAGTGGCTGGCTGTAGTATAGGTCGTAAACCCCTGATCCTCCATGGTAGCAGATGCTTCTTGACAATAAATTGTAATTGTCTAACATATTTTAAGCCCAGTTATCCATCCCACCCCCAGGCTGACTCAGAACTCATGTTAACATGTGTTTGTGTTGGAGCGAGTTAGGAGAGAAAAGAACAGTATTTTGAGACCCCATGGAAATTCATGAACATCTTCAGGCCTAGTCAGTCCTGCCATATTAGGACACAACAGGAACACTTTTAAAACATTTAGGTGAGATGTTGCAACATGCAGGAGGCAGTATGGCCTCAATCCAGACATTGTAATGGGGGTCTGGAAAAACTCTGATATTTTTTTTACATTCTCACATACTTAGCCGAATAGCCAAACCTCAGTGCATGTAGGAAAGCAGGCAGATTTCAGATCCTGGTTCAGGGATGTGGAAGATTGACAGTCTGGCAGGAAACAAGGGGAAATTACTGGTATAAATCCTGAGGGCGGTGATTGGAGAATGAGGAACACATGAGCCTGCAGGGGGTTCGGAGATGGGGTCTGGTAGAAAAGTCTGTGAACGTGTGGTGGTCAGGAAGTGAATGAAAGACACTAAAAATACCCATAAAAAAGAAAGGGCCTATAGGAGAAAATGGCTGAAGGCAGGGACAGATGCAGAGGGGAGAAAATAAACAGGACTGGGGCGTCCTTGTGACACTTCGATAAAATGGAACTGATTGCATTGGTGGATTGTTTGCAGGAAATATTTTTGTGTCGCACTGAGGAATTTTTGAAGGCAATATAAAGTGAACAGATTTACACCCTCTGAATTCAGACAGGAGTAAAAAGAGACGCTGCCAGTCTCAACTTACCCAGAAATCATTGTATATGAGGCCATACATTGAGACAGAAATCCAACAAAATGGCTTTATGTATGGTTTTAGACGTGTGTTTGAAATCTGACTGTTGATCTAAGAGCTGGTGTATGGTCCCTCAGTACGACAAGCTGTCCACAGAAATAAAGTGTTTGTAGTCATTGTTAATGTGCTGACTGAAAAATTGGGATAATGGCTCACACTCTCAGACGATCTCGCTCTCGGTTGTTCAAATGAAAATGCCACAAATAAAAAAAGAGCTGGATAAGAGAAGTACGAGGGATCTTTGCTCTTCTCTTGTTTTGGCAAGTTACACAAAGGTTTGCACACAGATTCAACCTGTCAACTAAGTGTCAGAGGAGATGGTTTCTGATGCCATCTGAGGAGCAATCATGAAGGAGTAGAGATCTGGTGTTAGCCATAGCAGGAGTCTTAGAGCTCGTTGGTACTCGTCTGGTTCAAGAACTCAGACTTTGTCGACTCTTATCTGGAACCAGAAATCTTTAAGGATGTGGCTCGCATATCTAAAGAACTGTTCCTCTTATCAGCTTCACACCTGGCATGTGTGTTGTTAATGGCCCAAGGAAGCACAGTGTCGAATTTGGTACAATTTGGACACATGATACGTTTAGTATTTACAACAGGTGACAGGCGCTCTGTAGCAGCGACACTGGGACTCATCAATGTAAGAAATACTGCGTACTGAGTCGAGCTACACTGATCTTTGAATAAACAGGTGAACAGCTCTTTGTGCAGCAGCGGTGGCGCAGCCTCAGGGTTCTGTGGCTGGAGTCCTGCAGCCGGTCTTTTATTTGCAGTGGCTCAATTCCTGCAATTCCTGTCACTTTTGCAGTTTCAGCATTAACACAGCAACCTGCTCATTTTAAACAGACAGGTTTAAAATGGGCACTAAGTTGGTTCAATGATTTAAATAGAAAAACTTGTGGATTCTGCAAATGTTTAAGAGGCTTGACTTTATTTAGCTGCTTCAGTTTCAGGGTCCTGTTGTTGTGTACGCTGGCTCACTATCACGATGACTTTATATGGACTGCAATATTCAGACTTATTGTGAATTATTTGGATTATTTTGTGTTTACACAAGCTGCTACTAGATTCCATTCATATTTCGGTTTACATGTTACAGAGCATGACTCACTGTCTGTTCTCTTTTAAACCAGTTTACCATGAGAATGTTGATGCCTGTGTAAACGTGTCTACTGTCCTCACCTGCTGTGACCTTGTGAGACGCATACATTTTATTAACATTGGTGCTTTTCCTGCAGTGACAAAACATTTGCTGTGAAAAAGACATTAAGATTCCACAGTTACTAGCCTTCCAGCTTCACACTGAAACATAAGAGGACTTTGAATTGGTTTGTTCCCCTCAGAGTAAAAAGAGAAAATATTAAATTCCACCAAAACACACCGAGAGGTTAAGATTGTGGTTCTGTGGCACTTAAATGATGCAGTAGTTTCTGGCCGAGCAGCGTGCCCTTCTCCTAAACCCAAACATTGCATCACGACTCATCCCTGATAGGATTAGAGACAGCCTTCTGGTTGTGCTCCCAAACATTTGGCTATTGCTGCCTCAATAATTCATCTCGGAGCTGGGATATAAAATGCACACATATTAAGCTTGTAAATAGTTGTGTGGTTTGTGTGTCTGTGTGTGAGTGTGTGTTTGTGTGTGTGTGGTCCTAATACACTCAAGCATCTTATTGACCTTGCCTTGTTTTCTTCTCATTTGAGGGGCATGGATAATTTGTGTAGTAGTTAATTTATGTAGCGCACAAGTCCAAGACTCCAACTCCCCCCTCAATCCACTCCCACCTCCTCACAGCTCTCCAACAGTGTCGACTGTGATCGAGCAGTTTCTCTTCTCTTTGAAGAGCCGTGTGGTGCTGAGGAAATTTCATTTGGCCAAAATATAGTGGCAACAGAGAGGTGTTTCCCCCGGAGAGGTTTAAGGCCTTTATTTCTCCCCTCTCAACTTCCCTTTGTTATCTACATCAGCGCACAGCTCCAGAAAACTGGAAAATGCACTCCCTTTGAAGACCGTCTTTGATGCATTGCATTGTTAATCTTTTCATTGTTTCATTGCAAAGTGCTTGATGAATAAGGAAAGAGGTATATCCCAACTGACTTTTCTTTGTGAAAAGATCAAAAGGAGAAGTAAAAAAAAAACCAGGCTGATGAGGAAT